TGCTAACAAAATGCAGAAATTCATTATGACTAGTGGTTTTCCTGCACCTGACGACAAGGAACAAGTCTCAGACCTCCAGCTCATTTAGTACTTGTTTACTTTAACAGTGATAATGACTTTCAATCTGGTCTGATTTCAAGTGACCGCCTAAGAGATGCTGCAATATTAACATTTTTGATGTATCTTACGTTTCTGAAAATGTGAAAAACATAAAAACTATCCACACAAATTGATTTTTCTTCATTTTAATTTTAAGTACTTTTCCATGAGGTGAGGAAGGGTTGGTAAAGGCCCTTTTATTTTTCAGAAAATGATAAGCAGTACTTAGTCCTTCTTAGAATTCAATCTTTATATTGCAAGAAGCTCTTAAAAACATTCTTGTGGTCAGTTTCTAATTTCCTTCACTTGCTTGTGGAGCACCCTGAACAAGAAGTTTCACAAGAGAAGAAAACTGGCAAGAGTGTTCTAAGAGAAAGGGATACAAAATACCCTTTACCTACTGATCACTGAAACTATACTCAGCATTTCATTCAAACTTCAGAGCTCACCTGGAAAACAAATCTTCCATGCACACTAGGTTATTGTTAGCTGAGTATCTCACAAGACTGTGCTCTGATTTAAATAAACTCCAAAGAAATCTCATGGCTCAGCTATGCTTATACCAGCCCACTTGAATGTCACAATGATTTTTCAGCATCTCTTTAACTACTGCAAGTCATGCTTAAAATATTATTATACTACATACTTCTGCAGCACCATCTAGCATATAATTATTTCTAAGAGCTTCCAAATATCTGAAAATCATTTATCACTCATAGTACTGCATGTGAGAAAACAGGAAACTATGGCAACTTTTGCAGACGGCTTCTTAGAAAAATTGACTTAAACAATTCCTCTTTTGTCCAGTGACAGTTCTCTTATGCTCTGTTTATGCAATATGAAGCAATTCCATGTGCTTTTTAAAAATACATTTTCATAAATAACTCTCAAATGCTGTTATCTCAAGTGCAACATAAAAGTTGCAGTTTTAAAGGAAATTTTTTGCTACAATAAATCAGTTATTATGTTAACTTTTTCATATCAGCAACAAGAAAAATAGAATATAAAAACCAAAACTTGCTAACATCACTTGATATTAACTACTGTTGTCCTATTAAAAGCTGACGCTGTACACATTTTGGGTTTAAGCCCACACCTTACATTTTGGAAAATAAAAATATTTATACAATTAAATGCATGCATTTAAAAACAACACCAAGTTTCAGGCCCATTAAAATATTTTAACTATTCTCCTCAAAAGCTTATTTTCTGCTAAAATTCTGCACTTGAAATTTTTGAGGTATTGAAGTATATGCTGTGAATATCTTGTCATCACCATTATCCACTTTATTTGCATTAATATTGCAAGTCTTTTGTAAACATGCCCCATATTCGATCTTGCAGTTCATTAACGAGTTCTCAAGCAACAGGAGGGTATGCATTCATTGCATACACCTATGACATGTATTTTGGCAATTATCTCTCCTCTTATTAAAAAAATGACCTTAAGCTGCCTCAGGAGGACTGTACACATATAAAACATGTTAGATTCCTTCTTACTAGGTTTATCTCAGAAAGTCCATCTCCGTTTGTTTGTGTTTCATGTCTCTATGTCTAAAATATATAAAGGTCACCTGTTTCTCTTTTTCCGATGCTCTCTGTTAGAATTTTCTGATTCACTGCCACTGCTGGTGTTACAGCGAGACCGTGATCTGGAGAGGAGAAAAGCAACATTTCAAGGTGAATTAATCTACTAACATCTGAAGTACTGAAGTTCTAAAGAAGGAATGAACAACACTGCAAAGATATTACTAGGAAAATCAGAATTAAAAGACTCTAGAAGGCTTGTGTACACCTGAAAGTCATACTGTCTTTTTCTCATTAATTGATTGGGAATAACTGCTTCAAAGGTAGTGCACCCAGAGTGCAGTGTCAGGTGAGTGCTATTTTCCTTTTGAATCATTGCACTGCATTTTTGTTTGTTTGTTTTATTTTATTTTATCTCTCAGCATTCTTTGTGTATATGCCACGGTGAAATGTTTCCGTGAGGTGTGAAATGTTTTGTCTTCAAACGGTATGCATTCTGGCTCTTCTTGCATACTGTGGGACACCCAACAACACACTAATTCTGGTTTTGCAGGCAAAACAAAATGCTCACCAGATCTGTCTTTTTCTGTTCAGCTCAACTTCCATCTGGCTTCTAGTAAGTTCATATCATTTTTCAAGTGTCAGGCAGTATGGAAGAAACACCACTAACACTGATTCTGCTGATCTTTATAAATACAGAAAGGCTGAAGTACACACATTGGCAGGTGTGTGTATCGGCACAGCTTTGGAATGACCCGATGTACAGCTACAAAGATGGTGCATCATGTGAGGAAAAGGAAATAAAGCAGTTACTTCCGTATGACCTCTGACTGCGAAGCTTCAAATGGTAAGGTGACATGGCTCTGATTATTTATTACTGAAAAACACTGGTGGAACAGGCTGATGCTGAACTTCAGGAAGAAAACGGGCATATGCCTACCTACAGGCAAACTCCAATCAGCAGAGAGAAGTGCTTGGCCACTACTATCTGAGATCCTTAAAGCCTTGATTGCCACCAGTCAACATTCTGGAGCAGACAGATCAGCTGTCAGGGCTCTGGTCCTAGAAACTAGGACTCTGGTACTGTACCACTGGCCTAGGTCCTAAAAAATGGCACTCTCATCAAAACCTGGTCTGGACCATTCTTCAGTGTGATGATGGTCTCTGAATGACTCCAAAGAAAGACACATTTCTCTGCGACACTGACAGCCCAGCCGATTAGTGGGGAAAGTTGACCAATATTAACATGAGTTGGCCTAGAAGGATTTAGGATATCAGGAGTTAGCATCAGTGATGATTTTGCTGCAATGGAAAAGAGAAATTTTCTTCTGAGGTCTCTGGGCCTGAAATAGGAGATATAAGGGGATGACCTCTGATGCTGCTGGCAGAGACACATACTTTCTTGTGCCTCCTGGCTTTTCTTTTGGTCTTTGATGAGCCACTTTCATAAGTGAACAGATTTGTTCAACCACACCTCAAACAAGCTGAGGAGTGAAGGCAGTTCATTAGGTGTAGGTAACAGGTAAGGGGAAGCATTTCATGACAAGGTTGAAGGCTATTGACAAGCACCTGCTCACGGCATGTTCTAACAGTTTAGGGAGAAGAGCCCAAACAGGATGAGAGCAGATGAGAGAGACTTCCTAGGGAACAGAATAGCTGCAGCACGGAGCCCCCTATAGGACACCCCACCAGAGTGTCCTATCTGGTCAGGGACACGTCACTCTACCCTCTTTCTCTGAAACTAGGACACTGTTACAGATATCCTTCTGTCACGTCTGAGAATCCCATGAATTTGCCCATAATACCAATGAATTATGGTTGGTTTTATCAAATTGCCGTGTCATTAATTGCCTCACAGTCTATGGAGTCCGGTCTCCCCCCTCTCCCAAACTAGGAAATCATTAACTCAGATAGCTCCCATTCAAACAGAAATGTTTTAGAATAATAGAATAACCAAAGCCTAGGAAAATCAGTTCAGCCCAGCTTGTCTGTAGGGAATAGGCTTGGAAAAGTGAAATTTCCTCAGAGGAGAAGCAAAAACCTCTCCCTATCCCCAAATTTCATGGCTTATAATTTAAAGCCATTGAGAGGCTCAGGATAGCCAGTTTCCCAGGTAAAAATACACATTTGTTGGTGAAGCTGAAAGTGGGGATAAGAAAGATGTATGTTACTATAGAAAAATGTAACCCCAAAGGAAGAAGGAAGATTAAAAGATGGTGTCCAAAAGATATTGGGTCAAGCACATTCAGAGAATTCAGAGCAATAAATGTCCCAGAACCACAGCAGACCTTACATGTCCAAAAGCATACCTTTTTTCCCCAAAAATCTTATCAGATGTTTAATAAATATTCCACTGATCTTGAATCTCAACATTAGTAGGCCATGAAAGCAACACTGTTCTTTCACATTTCCAGGTCATCGGAACAACTCTGTTCTTTTACATTTCTCAGCATTTAAAGTATTTTCTTACTCTGATTTAAGCAATTTATCCCATAAGGTACCAAGGCAGAAAAATCACCCCATGGCAGGAGAAGTGCAAGATAAAACATCCTATTTGCTCAAATTCAAGATATGCCTTTCTCTAGCTTTTCAGGGATGGAAATCTGATCCACCTTATGGATACTGCACATCAAATTACCTTGTGTTCCCTGTCAGGGAAGCACTTGCAGGGAGACAGCAGGGCTGCTGAGCTGTCAACTGAGTGGCAGCTGCTCATGCTGGCTGTCAGAATATTATCTTTCACTGAATATTAAACGTCAGCTTTTACTGAACTGCATAAAATACCAAAAATGGAAACAAAAGTGGTTTCCTAAGTCAGGTGCAAGAAGACATGAGATCATCCTGATCTCTGACAATTCAAAGCACCTTTCATCCTTTTCTCATGTTTTCTTGGTCATGCAATATATTTGATATTTTGCAGGTGGTATATCTATATGGTCTGACACAAGGAGCAAGAAAGAAGGCATAGTCAGTTTGGCAAGAGAGACAGAACAAATAAAGCCCAGGAAGGGGCTTGGGGGATGGGGTGGCTTGCAGGATTTGGTATTTCAGAGAAACAGTTGACAGAGAAGGCTCATATTCTGGTGGAGTCCTTTTCTGATTAAAATGAAAGAAAACTAGGAAAACTGTGAGGAAATGCAAAAGGTCTATTCCAACATACAATAACAAACCTATAGATTTGTAATGTAATACAGCAGGCACAGCCTGCAGGAAGAGGTCCCTCCTGAGCACTGGGGTTTTCCACCTGAGATGCCTAACTAAATCCTCTCAGTTTTATGTGCTGGACATCCACCATGGGACTACCACTGGGAGCTTGTAATGGTAACATCCTTCAGAAAAATAATCTGTTATCTTATAATAGGTGCAAAGTACGTGAGCACTTTCCCTGACTTCCTGTGATTGTCCCTGAGATGCCTGTATCTCTGCCAGAGCTCCCTTCCCATGCTGCAGCAGTGAATCAGATCCTGGGAGTGCCTCCTCTCCTTCACAAGCTTCAAGAGACTCTGACGTTGAAATGCACTGTGCTGTCTCCTTCTTCCAGCAGCCAGGGCAGGAGTACAGGAGTAAGGAGAAGCACAGCACAGTCATGGCAGGCAGATGTGGCACTAGAGAACTCCAGATGCAAAAATCTGTCAAAAGCTGAAGTTGTTGAAGGGCACACTCAAATTCACACCAGCATTTTATTTGCAAATATGACAACTAGTCAAGACTGTACAGGAAAAAGAAAAGCTTAAGAAAAAATTCAGTAAAAAATGTGCAAGACCGTAAGAAGTTGCATATGCCTCTGCACCTACCTTTTGCAGGACAACTAATCTCAAATGATAGTGCACTTGCTTTCAGAACAGATTAATTAAAAGTGGACTGGGAGGCTGGAGAACTCAAAACAAAATCTGCAGATGCAAAGTCCAAAAGCTAAACCTTCTGGAATTGACTTTCAAGTTGCAGACAAGCATTTAGTAAACTTCCACAAACTGCTTCTAGCATGGTGTAGTAACAATGTGCAAGGTAGCTTGTAGGAATCTGTGCTGTGATGAGGTTATGCTACAGAGCGTTTTAGCAAAAGTTAAGATAGGAAAGAAAAAATTAAATGGGCGGAACACAGGAAGGGTTTTAAACATTTAAGAAGATGGAGGAAAAGGAAGGAAGGGAGGGGATGCAGGGAACTAAAATATGATCAGTACCTTCGCTATCGTTTCATGGCTGCTATAGATTATATATTTACCTTCTCCTTTGCTTTAAATCTGAATCTTCACCACTGTTTTGATTTTTCCTGTGACATTAAGGAAGTTTTAATGAAATACCATGGGGTCACTTAACACAAATACAAAAAAACTCCCAACTTTTAAAAAGAGAAAAAACTTTACAAAGGTTTTTTTCCAATATGATTTAAGGCAGATAAAAAAAGGGCATGTGCTTGTTTTAAACTTTTCAGGACACCTCTACAATAAGTCACAAAGCTATGATCCCATTCAAGCTCTCATTGCAAACCCCTGACTTGCAAGGTTAGGCACGGTATGCTAGCCTTTAGAGTTTCCTACTGTTTCCAGCATAGCAAAGCCTGATGTTTTCCTCTCAATTCCAGTAAAAAGTACATAAACAACATGGCTATTGTTATTAAATGGTTGAAAAAGGAAAGTGCATGAATAAAACCAAGATTCAGGAAGACATAATTAGGTTAGAATCTACCTACTATTGTCAGTCTTCACAGTCTCACATATGAGATAAGACTTTTAAAAACATTTTGTTGGTGTGGTGGCCCAAGAGAAAACTTGCTATTGGCATGACCACCTGTCCACTGAGTATATCAGCCAAACACAAATGCCAGATGATAAACACTTCGCATCTCAAAAAATTTTCTACTGCATAGTGCACAAACGTTCTTTTCTTGGTACAAGACAGTTTTGCACTGCACATCTCTATTCCTTTATTTTTACAGAGCCCAACAAGTCCTTCTGACAACTAAGCTAGCAATGAATCAGAAAACCCATTCAGGAAACACATTGCTATTAACACTTACAAGGGCTCTATCCAACAGGGTAAATCAACATAATTCTATTGACTTAGGGAGAGCTACACTGATTTACTTTAACTCAGGCATGAGATCACTTAAGCATACACCATGGGTGAGTTTCTTTGCTCCTGTTCTAGACAGCTAATGGCAGATTAAAGGTCTGGAGCAGCTCAGAAACCTGACAAATATAAAAGCTCCACATCTAACTACATTTCCTCATAGATACAGCTGCGTCTTCAAAGATTCCTTTGCAAACCCTGGCTTTCAAAGCCAATCACTTCAGAGATGTCAGAAGGAGATCTAACTCCAAAGTGCTGGATCGCAAGGCAGTCCTAGAAGACTGCGATGAATATGGCACAGTAGCTATGCTTGTCTATGCTTCACAGCAGATTACAGCACCAGGGTACCTTAGTGATGAAAGCAGCTTCTCAGCAGGACAAATCATCCTAGGTAACACGTAGTCTCGCAAAACTGTATCACTTCAGAACCGTCCCTGTAATTTGCATTTTGGACATACTCCAGGACACACAGCACAGAATCTCCATCCATTTAATTTTACTTCTCTAAGTTACTCAATTCAGCAAGTACCCATTAAAAACATATTAAGTATCTCATAGTTGTATTTTTGCTGGCATCCTCTCTAATGTAAAGTAATTCACACATGGGACTGCTGAAGACAGCTTTATGGCTCATTCGTTTAATCTTTGTTGCACTTAAAGCAAAGCAATGTATTTAAAGCAAAATACTGCTTTGTATTACAAGCTCATTGTCAAGCAAGCAACATCCATCAATCCTTTGCTTCACAAGGGAAAAATAGCTGCAGCAACTGAAAGGATCTTGCACGTGCCAATAATGCAATTTCTCATATTTTTAACACCATTTTCCTAGTACCCAGAAGAGCACACAAGCAAAAAGCCTGACCAAAGCTTTCTTTCTGAAAGCAAATCTGGTATTGTTGCTCAGGGTTTTTTTGGACTAACAACTGGCCCCTAGAGTACCCCTTTTCCCAGAACCCAGCTGTGTCTCCAAGAGCCTTTACTGAACACAGAGCATGCAGGACCTCAAGCTTTCCACTGTGAGAAGCTAACAGTAATTAACCCCGGGGCTCTTACCTCCTCCGGACTGGCTGCCCAGACTCATTCTCGCTGCCACCTGACGGGTTTCGTCGCCGAGAGTAAGGAAACTTTGGTGATTTATTGCGGTCACTGGGAGAATTATACAGCCCACTAGGGTTAAAAAGGAAGAGCAAACAGTTGGCTTTAAAACTTCCAGGAGAGTTAGACCAGCTAACTGAGATTCAGCCTACAAAAATGAGAAGGCTCACACATACACTTACATACATATTCAGCTATACATGTATATGTGTGCGTGTGTGCTATGTAAATACAGGTGGTACTGCTTTCCAACAATAATATTTTACACTGAACCTTGAAAATGTAGGAGAGAGACCCCTTAGCATTGCCAAGCCGACAGCTCTAAGCTTACAAAATGTAGAACCAAGTATATACATATTCTTTTAGCATAATAAAATTTCTGTGCTTTAGTATGAGTTAACCAACCCAGAGCTAGGCATTCGAGTGCACCTTTATTCTTTATGTTTTCCATGGATGTAAGTATGAAAACAGTGTTCCTGTCATGACATACATCTTCATCACAGAGTTAATGTGAAACAATTTTAGCTCCAGCTCTCTGATGTTCATCCACGCAACCCTCTGCAAATGCTCTGGAGGTGTTTCAAACTTCAGGTTATGTAGTTAAGTCTGGGTGGGACCCAATGGGTTGGGTTGTTACTGAATTAGATGTAGACTATCAAATGCCTGTATAGATTATCCTGTGATACCTTCCTACAGAAGTGTAAGAACCTGTTGCAACAGTGTAACGGAGCCTGCAATGGAGTACATACCACTCTAAGGTGGTGATGGTGGGACCGATGTTCCACAACTTTGTGAAGGAAGGATGCTAAACTCAACCGCACATCTTTATCTAACATTACTTAGCCTTTTTCACAACAACTATGTGGTAAATATGATATTCTCATCAAATTCCAGCTAAGGCATTTCTTTCTGCTTTCCTAAAACCCGCTGGCCTTCAAATTGGATATATTCTTCTTCACCTGCTTCTGCAGACTGCTGATGACAGCACTGCTCTGCACGGTTGAAAAGTTGCCACAGTTCATCTCAATGAGAATTATTATTAGAAGCTGTGAAAGCCTCTGTGCAGCACAGAGTCTGCTTATGTGTCTGAAGCTGCGTAGTCCTTTAGAACAGATGGACTTGCAAAAACTCGATCCTACCATTCTTTGGCTGCTGGGGCATCAAACTTCCTGCTATTCTGAGAGCAATTTTAACACTGCAGTCATAATGTGACAGACTGACACCACTTCTTCTTTAAAACTCACAAATAAACATCTATCATAGCAAGAGAATATTTGCACACTGCTTTGTCCTTACTCTGAAAACTCTTGATGTTTACAGGAGCACACAGGGTAAATCATCATGGTGCCCTGAAAGACACACCATGTGTAGATCTGAATGATCACACAAAAGCAGGACTGTACTGGATTACACTTAATGTGCCATCTAGTTCAGTGGCCTGTTTCCAACAGTGGCCATAAGCAACTACCAAGGAAGCAAGAAGTTGAATACGTATGACAGCTCCCCAGTGCTCGTTCTATCCCCCACTATTACCAGTCCAGGGGACTTACTGAGCCAACTGCTCTACGGCTGTCTTCAGAAGGCCTCGGGGGTTTCTCTTCCATGACTCAACCACCTTCTCCCAGGAATCCACTAACTTCCAGTATCCCTTCTAAAGGAGGACTACAGGTCTCCTACTCAAGGTGAGGCACTACTTGCTGCCTTTCTCAATGCTTTTAAACCACCTCCAACAGCTTCATCAACAGATCCCAAGTTCTTATGCTGGAAAAACACAATCCTGATTTCTTTTTCTTTTCTCTGTACTACTCATGATTTTCCAGACCACATCCCCTGAAATTATCTCTTTCCCAGACTGCAGAAAGAGTTCTGCCTGGCCTATGGTCCTTGTACAGGTTTCCTGCACAGCCATTCACACCCTTGATTACCCTTGCTGTCCCTCTCAAAGCCTTTTCCTTTTCCTGAGATAAGGACATCAGAACTGCACTCACAATTCATGGAGCAAGTATGCGATCCACAAATTTATGTAATGGCATAATGCTGTTTTCTTGCTTTCCTAACAATTGCTAACTGTTTTTCTGACTGCTACATATTTGATGTTTCCATGAAGTTATTCATCATAACTCCACAGCACCTCATTTTACTCAGAAATCTACGGTTATTTTTTCGCCCCCATGTGCCTCTCTTTACACTTACTCAACATCATCCACCATCTAATGACCTGTCACTCATACCTTAGGGGTCTTTCTGCCACTCTTCACAGTCAACTTTCACTCTCACTATCCTAAACAATTCTGTCCCATCACCAAACCTTATCACCCTTTTTCCAGGTCTTTGATTCAATAGCAGAGGTCTATGAACAGATCTCTGTGGAAAGCTCTCATCCACAGACCACTTCCTCCTACACCTACTTTCCTAATTTTTAACTGATTATTTACCCATGACAGGACCATTATATGCAATACAGATTTATTGTGACCCTGTTAATACATTAATATAGTATATCAACATCCTCCAACCTATTGCCATGGCATGATATTTACCATTGCACAATACCTAGGACATCATGCCTCGCCTTACCTCTGTGGGCCATTTTCCTCCCACGGTGCGCTTGTTTTACTTCTTTGGGTTTCTGGACTGTTTTCATTTTTCATCTTTTTAAAGCTAAATAGAAGTACAGATATATATATTTTTTTTAAACCCATAGTGAACAGATCACATGTTCTCTCCCCCCGACCTCTTAGAAATTAATCTTAAAGGCATACAGTCATTACAGAGACACACCCCGGCATATAATGATTTGCCTGCTATGTGAAAGAGGCCAAACAGCTGCTATGTTGAAGAATCTTTCCTAGAAAGAGAGATTGGAAGGAAAAAAAACAAGATTTGAAAATCAGCTCTACTAGCTCATAATTATGGCTGCACTGAGTCAGAAAAAAGGTCAATCTTGCCTCAGAATAAAAGAGAACAGGTCCTTAGGCAAAAAGTCTAACAATAGGGCAAATATACAATATGCTCTCACAGTTTTCCAAAATATGCAGTTAACAGATTATTGAACCAGAGGCTTTATCTGCTTTTTATTCTACATAACACTTGATGGAACTTTCTTCCATGGATTTACTCAAATACCTCATAAACTTTTTTTAATTTTTGGCATAAATAGTGCGTGATAGCAGTATGCTCCAGTATTTAACTACAACACAAACAATTACTTCATTTTGTTTCAAAACTTCCACCTGGTTCAAAACTTCCATCCTGTATGCCTCACTAGTTCTGTGCTTATAGAAAGAAAAAAGGCCCTGTGAATGATGGCTCCCTAAATACAAACTCCACTCAACAATTTTTTTTTAGACATTTTTAACAACTGTCTCATCTCTTTTCCAAGTGAAAGAATCACAGACTATTTAATCTCTCCCAGTATAGGAGTCACCACATACCTCTGATCATCCTTATCATACTTCTCTATCATTTTTCCAGGTCTACAGCACCTTCTTTAAGATGGGAGCAACGAAGGCAGCAGTGATAACTATTCAAAACTTGACAGACCACAGGTTCAAAGTAGCATAGTCTTCTCATTCCTTCCCCAGTAATTCCTTATGTTTTCTTTTTGCTAGACACTGAGCATAGATCTGACAACGTGAAAGAGCTGTCTTCACTGACTACTGCAAGGTTAAGTACCAGGACAGTCAAGATAGTCACCCGACTTAAGAGATATATCAGTGTTTGTAACCCGTCTCCCATTGTACCTACAGGAGACAGGGGGGAAAACAGCAGATACTCCAATTCTTACTATTCCTACCATTCTCACAGTGTCAGGTTTCACAACTTCCAACCCATTAATGCTCCTAGATAGCCTGCTCAGTGCCACTCCAAGTGCTGCAAGGTGGCTTCCAGTTGGAGCATGCTTTTGCACCCCTCTTCTCGCCAATGGCTAGTCATGCTTTTCCTGCATCATTATCTCTAGAGCTCGCTTTCTACATAAACAAGCAGTTCACCTGATACAGAACTAGACAGCCACATTGACTTCCACTAAGCTCTTCATGAAGTATTACTGACAGCAACCCAATACAAGCATTAATACCACGTATCTTTCCAAAGTGCAACTTAAACAGGAAAAAAAAAGTTTTACAGATGCTTACAGAGAGGAGGACATAAGCCAGAGTTCTTTGCCCAGAGCAGGAGCTAACAGACTCGCCTTTATGAAGGAATCGTGGCTACTTAACTCACTAATCCACTTTTAACCTCAGCCTTTGGTTACTACAGGTCACTGAGTTAATCATTTAATTCTCACATAGTGAACAAAATGCAAAGCTACAGTAA